CCCCAAAACCCCAAAACCCCAAAACCCCAAAACCCCAAAACCCCAGATGGAAGGGAAGAGCTTGAACCGATCACTAGAATTAAACTTAATGCTAGGACTAAGAATCATTGTGTTTAGTTGTGAAAATTTTAACCTAATTCGGTTTAAAATTCACACAAACAGGTCTGGCTTCTACATGGATGTGATAGTATTAAAGGCTTTCTGGCATTGCACTACACTTAATGTACCCCCTCTAGTTCATTGTTTGAGAGGGTAGGTTAATGAATTTGGCCTTCATTTTTACACTTCTTAGAGTTACTATGTTAAAGAGTCTCCTTGCTCTCTAATATACCAAATTACTCTAAAAATGGTATTGTAAGCGAAATTCTACAGTATTCCGCTGAGGTTCCCTGGTGGACCTAGGAGCTTGGGGCCTTCTTTAGGTTCCTTTTCAGTTTAGATTTGCCTAAATTTCTGGAAATCATTAAGGTGTCCTCCAGAGCATTTTTCAAACTGGTAGATGGTATTCCAAGAAATATGTAAACTCAACACTGTTCTTCATGATTCTTTCTACTAACACAGTCGTTTGAGAGGTTCATAGTGGTATTTTCTTAGATTTAAGCTCCTCTCTTCACTAAATAACAGCAGAGACCCATCCAAAATTTCTTTAACAAGGAGTGGTAAGCATACTAACTCAATAAGTGGTATTTTAATGAGATGAACTAAGCGGCTATCTGATTATACCAATAGTTTTTAATCCAAAAAGCTCATAGGTTGATATAGAATATCCAGATGAATCCCTTGTCTCTGTTGATAGAGGCTTCCAAGTGTGATAGTTGATGAGTATGGCTTATTAAGTATCCTCCTTTACAGCTAATAATTGCATCTCAAGTTCTTATCCTGATATCTAAGATAAAGAACTTTCGAGTTTGGCATCGAATAACCAAGACCAAACCTCTGTAGTGCCTCCAGTGCTGCTGTAGATCTGTAGAGACAGACCTAATGAAACACAAGGAATTCTGTGTTACTTTATGACTAAAATTCTCACAATTTTGAGGTCATATTCGTTGCTATTTCAAATTGGCGCAACTTCTTTAGCACTATTATTTTCATAAAGATTGTTTGACTAATCTAGCTGCTAATAGCATCTAAAGGGCTAGTTTTGGATTAATTTCGGCTAAAAGTCATCCCTGAAGTGGCTCCAAAACTGATATTTGGTTTAAGTAATTGTGTGAATCCATTGGCAAGAAATGATAGTTTAGGCTAACACCTCTCTGTGGATCAGCCCACAGCGGGTATATTACCTCATATTTGTAGTAATCAGGTACCTTACAGACCTCTTGATAGTAATTTTGCACCTTTTTAGTGATTTCAATTTTCTAAATTTTGGTGTTTTAATGGTGTGTCGATAAATTTGCAAATTATCACGGTGAATTTTGAAAGATGCTGGCATAGGACAGGAGCCCAATAATGAAATTTGATGGGGCAAGCAACCCGTAAGAGGCTTAGGTCATGGCTGTGGGTTTATTGATGAAAGGGATTTGGCTCGTATTTGCTCAAGAAAAGGAAACTACTCTTTACCTTAGATGCTAAGGCTATGAGATTATCAACATTATGGCTCAAGAAGTCATTTTCAGTTACTACTTAATTATTTGAATTTTCTAGTATGAATATATTGTGGTATATCAAGTTGGAGAGTGGATTTGGGCAATCCCATTCTGGCTGATAAAAAAGCAAGAAATTGACTATTAATAAACACCCATCACTGTATTCTTCGTTAATTCCTAGTTGTCAGTGTTTTAATTATGGGCTAGTCATAGTGGGAATTATTCAAGTTTACTCATTCAATTCTTCTCTAAAGTTGCTAAATTTTTATTAAATCTCAATTTCTTTGCCATTAAATTACCTCCTATCGGCTCTTATTACCTCAGAAATCCTTTTAGACCTTTATCAGGCTGATTTTTCTGCTTCTAATTTCAAACCGACATATACGTTAACACTAATTATATAATAATTTAACCTCATACTCATCATGGGGTTTTGGGGTTTTGGGGTTTTGGGGTTTTGGGGTTTTGGGG